TAGCTGGACATGGCGGTACACACCTGTAATCCCAGCTATTCAGGAGGCTGAGGCAGAAGAATTGCTTGACCCAGGGAGGCAGAGGTTGTAGTGAGCCAAAATTGTCCCACTGCATTCCAGCCTGGTGATAAAGCGAGACTCCATCTCAATAATAATAATAATAATAATAATAATAATAATGAAAAAGGTCTAGCAAATTTAATCAGAATTCTACAAGGAATTCTGATTAAACATAAGAGGTAATATTTAAGGTGATAACGACTGAAACCCTTCTCAGAATTATTCAAATATATACATCCTAACATACAGGAAGTCCAGCAAATCACAGGCAAAAGCATAAAAACAGTTCACATCTAGATTCACCAAAAAGAAACTAAAAATCCACATTCATATATACACAAAAGGTCTTAAGCCACAGGAGGGACAAGCAAGACTAGAAACAAAACAAAATAAAGCAAAATGCAAAACAAAACCCAACACACTGCAGAGAATAGACATTGTCAAGAGACTGACCACTATCTTTACAACAGAAATAATGAAAACTATAAGATGGTGGAATAATACCTTAAGTGGACCGAGAGAAAATAATTGTCAACCTAGAACTGCACATCCAGCAAAACCATATATTCAAGTGCAAGGATAAAATAAAGACATTTTCAAACAGACCTGAGAGTTTACCACCAGTAGACCCTCACTACAGGTGATTCTAAAGGATTTTCTTTAAGAAGAAAAGGTATAATCCCAGACAGATCTGAAATCAGAAAAGACTGATTATGAAGGATATTGATAAGTATGTGCATAAATCAAAATAACAGTTGACTGCATAAAATCAGAACAATAATAATGACAATGTCTAACTTGTGGAGGGAAAGAACAGCAATTTAGAGATCTAAAATATTGGACAACAACAGCTTTCAATTTGGCAGAGGGGTGGTCAGTGTGAAAGATCCTTGTTTTATTTACAAGTGTTAAATTTATTAAATATTTAGATTTTAAGTTAGTATACATGTTTTAGTATAAAGGGAAAATTGTATGAATAACTTCTTTTTTTTAACTTTATTTTTATTTTTATTTTTTTGTTAAAAGAAAATGAGATGGGGTGTTATCATGTTGGCCAGGCTAGTCTCGAACTCATGACCTCAAGTGATCCACCCATCTCGGCCTCCCAAAGTGCTGGGATTACAGGCGTGAGCCACCGTGCCCGGCCTGTATGAATAAATTCTAAGACATAGAGGGGAGAAACTAGAAAAATAAAACGAAAAATAATTTAGTCAGTTATAAAAGTGTGTGTGTGGGGGGAAGAACCCAAACAAAAAATAGAAGAACCAGGACAATTAGGTAACTAGAAAGCACATATAAGATGGTAGAAGTAAATCCAAATATATCCATTACCATAATAAATAGAAAAGGGCTAACCTTCTCAGTTAAAAGAAGATTGTCAGATTGTATTTTTTTTAAAGCAGTTAGCTTTATGTTGATTTTAAGAAACACACCCCAAACCATAAGGCACAAAAATGTTAAAAGTTCAAGTACAGAAGAAATATGTAGTAAACCCCCAGGAAATGTTGCCCACAAAAATACCAGTAAAAAGAGAGTTTAGAATGAAAGTCTTCAGCATTTGACTTCTGTCCTTCGCTTTATTCTTAAATAGAGACAGGCTAAATTTCTTTTCTTCTGTTGAGATATGAGTAGGATTAGGAAGTGACAGCCTCTTGATCATTTAAGATTTTTCCAGTATGGTATACATTTCTTCAGTTTCATAGAGGATAAGTTTTTCCTTATTTACTTTTGGGATTTTTTCATGACAGAACAGAGTAATTAAAAATACTCTTAAGCCAAATGCATAATGCCATATTTTATTTTTGGACATTACTTATACCATAACAGTACAGGTTTTAGCAAAACTAACAAGAAAAGCTGCTATAGCTATAGTAACATTAGACTAAACACTTCCTTTTCTTTTTTTTTTTTGTTGAGTTAGAGTCTTGCTCTGTTGCCCAGGCTGAAGTGCAATGGAGCGATTTTGGCTCAATGCAACCTCCACCCCCTTGGTTCAAGTGGTTTTCCTGCCTTGGCCTCCCGAGTAGCTGGGATTACAGGCACCTGCCACCGCACCTGGCTAATTTTTGTGTTTTTAGTAGAGATGGGGTTTCACCATCTTGGCCAGGCTAGTCTTGAATTTTTGATCTCAGGCAATCCGCCCACCTCGGACTCCCAAGGTGCTGGGATTACAGGTGTGAGCCACGGTGCCTGGCCCAGACTAAACACTTTCTAAGGAAAAACATTGGTAGAGATAAAGAAGAGAGCTATATAATGAAATGATTTATTAAGAAGATGTAACTCTAAACTTTTATGCAGCTAATTATAAACCTCGAAATTATAAAAATTGACGGAATTAGAGAAAAAAAATAGAAAGACCCAATACATTAGTGGGAAATTTTAATATATCTCTGTCAGAAATTAATAGACCAAGCAGATAAAAAATCAAGAATAGAGATGATTTGAACATAATTAATAGGCTTGATCTAATGAACAGTTATAGATTACATCCAATAATTCAAAAATATTGAATCTGAGCACATATGAAATATTTATTTAAATTGGCTACATGGAGACTGTAAAATTCTCCTCAATAAATTTCAGAGATGGATGTCAAACAAAGCTTATTTTTGGACCAAAATGTAACCAATTTAGAAATTAATAGCAAAATGATAATTGGGAAATATTATACATTTAAACAACATATGGGTTAAGAAATCAAAAGCATTAGAAATGAGTGATAATAAAAGTGTTATATTTCAAAACACTGGAAGCAGGCAAAGTAATATTAGAAGAAAATACAATTATTTAAATACGTTAGTAAAGAAGACTAGATAGTAAATTAAAAACACAATAATAGCAGAATAAGCCCCCCAAAAACGTATAGGAAAGAGAACAAATAATTTTAAAAAACCACCCCGCACACAAGAAACACTAATAAGTTAGAAAATAAACATATAAAAAGAATCAACAAAGGTAAAAGTTTGTGCTTTGAAAAAAGTTAATGAAATTGACAAGCCTCTGGCAATATTTGTCAAGAGAAAAATGAGAAATCCATTGTAAATAATATTAAGAATTAAAACAGGGACATAAGGGAATAGAATTTTTTATGCTGACTAGATTAAAATATGTGTGTATTATATACAGTTTCAAGTCAATAAATCTGGACATCTAGAAAACATAATTTTTTTGAAAAATGCAGTTTACTAAAACTGACTCAAAAAGAAATAGAGGATATAAATAACCCTATAATCATTAAATAAATTGAATTAAAAGTTTAAAGTTTTCCCAAAAAGATAACATCAGAATAAGGTGATTTTTACCAATACAGTTATTCAGTGGGGGGAAAGTAATTTAAATCCTATGCAGACTCTTATCAGTGATTAGAAAAAGAGAATATTCCCCAAGTGTTTCTATGACTAGCATAACTTTGACACTAAAATAAGGTAAGGAATTATAAATTGGAAAAAGGGAATTTCACTTGTGATCATTGAAGAAGAAAAAAAAGCTAAATAAAATATTAACAAACAAAAGTTAGCACTATGCTGCACTATAATAAAAACAAATACATTATGACCAAGTTGCTTTTTAATCTCATGAATGCCTGGTTCATTTAATATTGGAAATTTGATTAATGTAGCATCACTTCAGCATCATTGAAAGGAAATATACAATCTTCTTAGTAGCTGCAGAGGAGATAATTAATAGAATTTACTATCTGTCTCTAATTTAAAACCAAAAACTTTTACAAACTAGGAATAGAAGAAAAATTGTTTGACTTGATAAATGTATCTGCAAAAATACTAAAATATGGCAAATATCATACTTGATGGGGAAATATATGAATTTCTGTTACCATCAGGAACAACCAACCATATCCAACTTCTGTGAAGACTGAAGCTTACACTATTTTGGGGGCTCTGATTCATGAGTATTAACACCTGTTGATATCACCTCCTCTTATTGTTGCAACTCCACACCTAATCTTCTTTTTTTTCTTTTTCAACTCTTTAACACCTCTGTAACCAATATTCCTCACCCTTAACTTCCCTTTGGTTGAACTATCTGAAAACTCAAGCTTCAGAATTACAAATAAGAAATTATGTATTAAAATGAGTATGAGGAAACAATGTACAAAAAATATTGGTGACTTTGAGATTTAGGTCTTTCCATTCTGAGATCTTTTAAAACAATTTATTAGAAATGCTTCCGAATTTCACTAGACTTCTCTTTCTGTACTTAGAATACTGCAAATTCTAATAACTCCTGGAACTCACAGGGGCCTATGCTAATGAGGGTCTAAGCTTTATTTGCTTCCCAGGAACCTAAGCTTTATGTGTTAGAAATGTAAACTAGTGCAATAAGACAAAAATTTAAAGTTTAAAAATTTGAAAAAAAAAAAAAAAGAAATAAAGCCATTACTATTACTAGGTGATACAATTGTTCACATCAAAATCCCCAAATAGTCAACAGACTTTTTTTATGGAATTAATATGAGAAGTTAGCTAGCTTGCTGTTTTAAACCAATGTATAAAATCAAATTGCATGTCTGTACTTTGGAAATGATTAGCAAGATGATTTAAAAGACATCATTACAACACACCCCCCACTTACCCTAACCAACCAACCAACCAACCAACCAACCAACCAACCAAACCAAGCACCACCTAGGATTATATCTTGTAGTAGATGATCAAGAACTTTACATAGAAAAGTATAGAATTTTACTGAGGCCAAGATGGGAGGAATGCTTGAGTCCAGGAGTTCAAGACCAGCCTGGGAAACATAATGAGACCCTGTCCTCCCCGCCCCGACCCACACACACAAAATTGAAAGTCACTAGCAAGAAATACTATGTTCATGGATAGGATGATTCTGTGTCTTAAAGATGTCAATTTTTCTCTATCATTATCATTGCATCATTGTAAACCTGCTCTTCTTTCTCCATTCATTGTTTATAGGGAATTGAACTTGTCAAATGAATGTCTAGAGTGATATGTATGAAGCAAAGGGAAGAAGCATTCTTGCTGACTATCAGACATTTTGCAAACAGGATGCAGGTAATGAATAAGAGATACTACATTTTCTTACTTTTTTTAGGTTAATAGGCTTGCTCCATTTCAGCCACTAATTTTTATTCTTGATTCAGTGTCACTGATATAGTTTAGCTGTTCCTCTTAGTTTTCATATTTATCTATAGTCACATCATTGTAAATTACAGCATAATTTTACATACTTTCATAAATCATAATTTTTTGCCACTATTAGGACACATTACATTTATGTTAGGAAAACCTGGAAATGTGTTTCCTTTGTTATTATTTATATCTTATCTTACTAAAGTAACCTCACACCATTAGGGTTGAGGCATATGTGCTCACTTTAAAGCAGCTGGTATTGTTCCTAAGAAGATGCACAAGCCCAGGCTTTTAACTAAAGACAGAAACTTTTCACTGACAAAAAAACTACAAATGCTCTGGTAATAGTAAGAATGATTCTGTATTAGTTCTCTGTTGCTGCTGTAACACATTACCGCAAACTTAGTGGCGTAAAACAGTACACATTTATTATCTTCCAGTTAGTTCTGTAGGTTCAGAAGTCTGACACAGGTCTCACTGGGTTAAAATCTAGGTGTTGGCAAGTTTGCATTCCCATCTATAGATTTTAGAGGAGCTTCTGTTTCTTTTCCTTTCTAGCTTCTGAAGACTGTCTGAATTCCTTGACTTTTGTTTCTTTTACTACATCTTCAAAACAAGTAACAGAGGGTTTAGTCTTCCTCACATCACATCATTCCAACCTCCTCTTCTGCCTCCCTCTTCAGCCACTATGTTGGATTTTATTATGTTGAATCCTGGATAATCCAGGATGATCTCCCTTTCTCAAAGTTCTTAATCACATTTGCAACATTCCTTTTGCCACCTAAGGTAACCTTCACAGGTTCTAGGCATTAGGACATGGACATCTGGCCAGGAATGAGGGCAAGCTCTCTAACTTCCTGTTCCTTCCCCATGCTCACTCTTCTCTGGCCACATTGCCCCACTCCAGACTTGGTGTTCACTTACACTTCCCTTGCAGTAAAATGCTTTCAGCCAGAGATTCTTATGGCTTACTCTCATACTTTGTTGATGTCTCTGTCCAGAAATCCTGCCATGAGCACTAAACCTGAAATTTACCTTATGTTTTCTAACCTCTTACCATGTATTGTTTTTCTTCATAACATTTCCCATTCCTCTGTGGCTCCCCTTCTGAAAACTAATCTCCCTTGGGGTAGAAACTTGGTCAGCTTTGTTCCCCTGTGTTACTCAGGGTCTAGCTCAGTGTCTGGTACAGAAGATCTATGATGCATGAATGAATCAATTTTTTAATTGTTCTTACTGAAAATCACATTTTTCTTTTCAGTAAGCTGGATCACACTGAAATCTCTATAATTTGAATTAGAGTTGAATTCAAATTGAAGTATGAGAGCTATTGCCATTGTGCTTTGTTATTTCACTGAGAGTGCTATTTGAGTAGCCAGATTTTCAACTGACATCAGTAATACTCAGTGTGATATATTAAGTATCCTTCTGTGAATGCCCTACTATCGATTGTATTCTTTTGGAGTAGGGATTGATAATAATAGTGATAAAGACAATTAGCATCATCTTTGGTAGCATTTATGGAATACTTGCTATGTGCCATTAGTAAGTCCTTTACTTACATTATTTTATTTAATCTTCTCACTCCATGAGATCATAAAATACACATTTACTCTTTTGTCTACCCAAGAAAACTTACCCCCTTACCCAACACTTTCTTTAGGAAACTGCTTATCTCTATTCCAGCCAAATGATTTTGGGAATATCCCAAGAACAATCCTTTGGCCTCTTGGCTGTCAAGATGGATATATGAACCAGTCTGGATCAGTCAGAATCCTTTAGTGGGAATCCAATATTTAACACGTAATCCATATCAAGCCAGAGTTCTTTCTCTCAGTTTTTGGGCTCACTATAGGAAGGGAGACTTTCTTTTCCTCTTGGGTCCAAAAATGGCAAGGATATGGCCTGGAACTACTATGGTGAAGTAGATAGAGGAAATGGATCAGGGACAGGAGTCAGATGCCCTGACTTATGCAGTATGTGGTCACATTTTCTCCACTTGATAGATGAACAAACATGTCTCAGAGCTGTTATTTTCCATAGGACAGATAGCTTGTAAATAGCTAGTGAATGGGGGGATTTTACCCCGCATTGGCCTGATTTCATTATCTATATTTTCTTTCACTTTGCTTTATGCCCTGATATCTTAGCCATTTACTCTTTCCATTCTTCCTGGTTTCTGAAAACACACAGCAAAGAAATGCACACTCTTTATTTCTAAAAAGGTGTTTCTTGGACAGTTGTTGCTCCTCTGTACATCTTATACTTGATGATTATGTTCACTTGAGGGTCTAGGGCTGGAAGGACAAACAGACCCCATCTTCTATGTTAATTCCAGTGGAATAAAAGTGGTTATTTACAGCTTTGTGTTGAGAAGGATTCTGAGGCTTCATCTGGCCTAGCAGAAAAGGAGGAAAGTGAAATAAGAACATAAGCTATTAAATTTGCTCAAAATGTTTGATAACTCAGATTGCATTTTGGAAATACGGAGGTATACTTTTCAGCATCCAAGAAGTGTTGAGCTTGTTTTTCAGCTCAAAAAATATTTTGTTAGCTAGAAACTCAACTTGTGCACCAAACCAAATTCCTCAATAGTCTCTTCACTGTGGAATGATGACATCTTCTAATGAACATCTTCCTTTGCAAAATGCCCAGACAGCTCTATGCTACAACGATAGGAACAGCAACATGACCTGAATTTAGATTCTGAATTTAGATTCTAGAATGTCATTTATTGGGACCACTCTTTTTTTGGTGAGAGAGATGCTAAATCACAGCCACCCTGAGAAAATTGTCATGCACTAGTATTGTTGAACATTTTCTAACAATCAAATTGGGCCTCACATTTTGTTGGTTGGAAGTTCCATTTCTTCATCTTTGGTCCAAGTTACTTAGCAATGACCAATCAAACTATGTGCCCACCATATTGTTTTGCATGTTTGACTAGAACATTGACAGATTAATAGGAAGGGTAAATAGCAGAGCACAACTGCGGGGGCCCAGTGTGGAGCAGCGGGATTGACTGCTCCGGACTTTGTTGTGTTTGCTCAGAGGAAGCCGCAGCAAAAGCCTGCTGGGCTGAGGTGACCTGGGTCATGGGCATTTGTTTTTTGTCTCTATAGAAAACAATTGTTTTCTCAATGGAAGATGGCTTTTTTCTGAATCTACATGGTTCCACCGATGAGGAAGCATTTGCCATTCCAGGGTGCTTGCTAAAACACAGGCATACAAATAAAAAGGCCACACAAAAGTTCAAATTTACTGTATTTTTCAGAGAATCCTTTGACTTATTTTAACTAGGAGAGAAGCCTAATTTTGGAAAATTTATCTTGAGGGTCTCTGAACCTTCATCTATCTACTGCTAATTCCCAATATTTGATGCTTAAAAATTTATGAAGTTTCAAGATCCAGCCACCTTTTCTTCCCCCACAGGTCATGAAGGCAGAACCCATTAACATTTAGCACTATTGATTTTGTAAACCCTGGCTTTGGTAAAAAATTTATTTTGATTTCAAAATTGCTCTAATCTGAATTGATATGGATGAAATACGTTAATAATAAAGGAAAACCTACTTTAGGTAAGACTTAATTAATCAAAAGTGGTGGCTTGATTTAAAAGCCAGAACTATATTTTTGGCTAATAGATTTATTTGAGCATGACTAATTTTACATTTACAAATTTATCATAGTTCTTTAGGAAAAGGTTTACTTGAAATAAAAGACTCCAAAGGGTTCTACATGGATTTTTGATGAATTACTATTGATCATTCTTGATGTATTTTATACATATGTATATACACACATATACATACATGTATCCATCCATCCATACATACATAGAGATAGAGGCAGAGATTAGAGATAAAGAGGGATCAAGAATATACATACAACATGTATGTGTATATATATGTATATACATATATACACACATCCCTATATATATGTGTGTATATATATATTCAATCAGCCAGACTCTCTTCCTGATCTCGTAGGAATGAAGAGGGGGTCAAATGGCACTCTACGATTTTCTGTTTAGCAGAATTAAATTACCAAACAGAAAATCATAGAGTGCTATTTTCCAACCTTTTCTTCCTCTTCACTTTCTCTTCTCTTTACTCCTTTCCTTTTTTGTCCTTACCTTCCTAGAGCTTAGGGCTTAGGAAGAGCATAAGAGTGTTATTGATGGTGGTTGTGGAAATCATTTTAGTTTCTGGCTGCCTACTTCAAGTCCTGTTGGGCTTTTTGCATTTTTAAAACTGAGAGACCACCATGGGATGGGGTGGTAGATGGTGGTGTACCCCAAACAAATGAACAAAACCTCCCCTCCAAAAATCAAGGAAAAAAAACCTCTCAGTGACATTAAAAACTAAGACTGATCTGAGTATTAAGAAAAATCAATATGTCTGCACTAATATTATATCCTTTTTATTCATTTAAAATTAACCAGTATTTATTATGCACATCCTTTCTGCTATTCAGAGGATAGTTTCAGCCCTCAGGGAGCTGATAGTCTTGGGTTGAGGCATGGGGAAAGATAATCATCCAAAGAATTACAATATACTATTTCTCAATTCCCTATAGTATTAATTACGATATAGAGAGCGGGAGTGAGACCAAGAGACTGGCACTAACTCTATTTTTTCAAGACACAGGAAGAGGCATGCCTCTGTGGTTCTGTGGCTCTTTATTTAGGCTAATTTAATCTCATTTGCAAGCCATAAAACAAATAATGATTGTCTAGTTGACACCTGTACTATAGAAACATGGTAAGACTTGGGAAAGAGTATAAGTTTTGTAGGGCAGAAATTGCACCTGTCACATTCACTGTATGGAATGAGACTGGAACTCCATGAATATCTGTGGAATGAATGGGTAGATGAGAAGCCCAAAGACTGAAGTTGCTAAAAGCTGTGTAACTTTTA